TGTCTTGTTCTTCAATCTCTTGATATTTTTCCTCCTTGCCTTCTTGAAGAATTGTGTTGAATTCCCCTTACCTCTTGAACCGTTCTCCACCCTAGAACGAGGTTTTAAAAGTTGTATTAATAGTATTTTGAAGCCTTGGAAGGGTTGGAGTCGTCTTGGGCCAAGAAAATAGTCCAAAAAACTCAAAACCCCTTTTTCTCACCCCACGGCGCCGAGGCGCCCATGAAGCTATTGAGTTTCAGCAACGGTGGCGCTGCGGGTGCCCAGTTTCGGATGAAAATTCAACAGTGCGCGTCATTCAGTATTTTTAACATAATTGTTTCTCCCGATATCCGATTGAAGCGATTCAAGATACGTTGAAAAGATAACTATAAGGGCTACAACTTTCCTTCAAATATCATTTTCCAATTCAAATGTTTGATATGTCAAAAATGAGTCAATATGAGACTTGGAGCATAACTTTTTCGATTGGAAATTGATGTGTGATCTTACTTTACCTATATTCCATCCATTTGACTTCTTTCTTATCCAATTGACTCCTAGAACACTCGAATCTTCATTGTGAGGTCCGACACAACTTTGGAGTATTTTCACTTTAGTCCCCGAACTTTGGATCTCTTACAATTTAGCTATCTTCTCCAATTTTGCCAACTTTTATTTATTTATTTCATTTTAATTAACTTATATCACAACATCAAAATACACATGAAAACGCTCTAAAACTCATAGATGATGTCTAAAGTATGAGTGAAACACACTTATCAGCTGTGAAAGAGACATACTCCAATTAATTAAATATCAAGTTTAGATGATGTCTAAAGTATGAGTGAAATACACTCATCAGCTGTGAAAGAGACGTACTCCGATTTTGAAGATTCTTAGTATATCTTCAAGATAAATACTCAGTTATAGCAGACAAAGCGAGGCACAAGGGATGTTACAAACTACTACATGGAGATGGTCTCCCTGTGGCAGGATCTGGACCTTAGCAGCGACGAAGGTTGGAAGTGCCCAAATGATATAGCTCTGTATAAGAAGCATGAGAACAAGAAAGTATATGAGTTCCTAGCAGGTTTGAATCGGGAACTTAATGATGTTCGAGGCCGGATATTGGGTCGAAGACCACTGCCCTCCACTCGCGAGGTGTTCTCCGAGGTTCGACGTGAAGATGCACGCTAGCAGGTGATGAAGGAGATCTCCGGAGACGCGTTTGCCTTGGCCGCAAGTGGGTCTCCAAATTTGAGAAATAATAGGCCAAAACACGTGACTGGATTTGGAAATATAAATGGGCTAATTGGATCTGGGCATTTTAAAATACATAAGCTTGCTGGGCCTAGGTCACCGTCGTGGGTTAGGACATAAAGAAGACACATGTTGGGAAATTCACGAAAAACCCACGGATTGGAAATCAAGAAAAAATACTAGAAGCCGAGGGTATCAAGCCGAAACAACAAATAACCAAAGTTCTAGTGGTGCTTTCAATTCGGAACAACTGGAGCAGCTTTACCAAATGTTCTCAAACCTTCAAAAATCTGGTCAACAGACCCCCAGAGGTCCTTCTTGTTCTCTGGCTCACAAAGGTAACATTTTTAGAGCCTTAAGCACCTCATGATCTAAAACAACCTGGATTATTGATTCCGGTATGTCCAATCACATGACCGATTCATATCACCTATTCTCTTCATACACTACCTATGCGGGAAACATTAAAGTAAAAATTGCAGATCGAGTACTCTCATCTGTTGCAGGAAAATGGACTATTCGAATCTTTGAGTCCATAACACTGCAATCTGTACTTCATGTCTCAAATTTGTCATGTAATTTGTTATTTGTCAATCAATTGACCAAAAATTCTAATTGTACTGCTAACCTCTTTCCATCTTACTGTATCTTTCAGGGCATTTCATC